AAGTATTTTCGCTTTCACAACGAAACACAGCGTCACACACGACGGGGTTGAGTGAGCGGAGGAGCTTGAGAACGGCGCGGCCGGCGGATTCGACGAAGGAGCGTCCGGCGGGCTTGCGGCAACCACATGTGACGACCCCGGGCTGGACTCCGCTTCGTCCACGGTGAAAGCCGATGCGGCGATCCACAGCGCAAAGTTGATGTATTTCCTCAGCGACCAGCACGGATCAGCTCCAGGCATGACGAAGCGGATATCGTCCTCTTTTGGAAGACCAAACAAAGTAGTTTCGCTTTCACAACAAAACACAGCGTCTCCACAACATGGCGGCGGCAACAACAATACTACAGCGAGAATAAAAGTTGCGCCTTCTTTCTTTGCGTGAACATTTGGGCGGTGTTATGCAAATCTTCCCACATCGTGACGTAGACGTGGGGGCGTGTTAGAACGAGCCGTTTTAGGTAGGTGTGGTTGACTCTTAACTTTTATAAAGAATATCTCTTTGGATTTGAGACTTTAGTCTTTGCAACTTTACAGATCTTCTTTATGCACCAAGAGCTTGTAACACTCCAAAGAGAAAGGAAAAATTGAAATCGCATCATATGACCCCTTTAAAAGCAGTGAAGTTTACAGTTTTCTTATACTTTATGTGAAACTATACAACTTCTGGCTGTGCGTTACAAGTGTAATTCTTGTGGGTGAGTTTTGCTTTATGTAAACAATACTTTACGGACACTTGTGTCCAAGGAGGTAAAGAAATCCATGCAGCAAGTTATTCGTTAACATTCCCATTCATCTCAACAGTACTTTCTTGGCCATAGATGCTTAGTTGCTTGCCGTTTGCATTCTAAATTCCCACTAGAAGGACATTGCAAACATGTTTTTCCTTAAAACTGTTGTGTAAAAAATGTTTGCGTTAACTGACAAATGCTGTTGATCGAGACTATGATGCATTTCACCCAGAGTATTACTTTAATATGGAACAGACCTGTAGGTATCATCGGGATAAGTCTTTTGCACATAGTCCTGGAGTTCCATCTGCGCTTTTTCCTGGAACTTTTCAATTTGGCTACAGCTGCTCACACCTGGGTGATCTTGTGCATTAATAAATCAGCTGTGAGTTTACATCTCTTATACAACAACTTTTTCAATCACTCAGATGCAACATTCTGGCCTTCTTTGAGGAGCTGAATGGTTGTGTACCTGGACTGAACAGGACAATGGCTTTTAAGTAGGCATATTCATATCCGTCTGTCTGCAGCTTTGCCATGCTGTTGCAGAACTCCTGCAGCTTCCATATGTGCTCCATGACTAGTGTAATGCGTTCACTCGATAGCTTGTCTACTGAGAGGAGATCAGTTGTTAGTTCACTAAAGACTTATGACAACATTTACATCAGCACATCAGTTTACAGCAGTTACATCAACATATTAACAGAGATAACTTGTTCTAGCAATGCTTCCAACATCAACAATTTTTGGTACGTTTTCATTAATAATAAAAAAAAAATAATCTTTATTAAGAAATCTTTAAATTAAGTAGTTTGAAGGTTCCTTTCTGGTGCCTTACCAGTAAACTATCCATTTAAAGCCATTATTTATGATGACGACACTGTGCCATACATTTTGAAAACACTTAAAAAACTGGAACTAGAGATTGAAATTCAGTCTCTATGACAATGCCTTTTTGTGGTAACATTTACCATTTCAACCACAACAGGTGCAGTACTTTTTAATTTCTTGAACGTTTTGTGGGGCATCATTACAGTAAATGCATGGTGCATGATTCCACATTATTCTAACTGCACTGAAAAATGGGAAAGCACAGACTGTCAAATTAACTTGGTCTGTTCTAAACTCGATTTCTTTGCTTTTTGATTAAATGTAATTCTAAATGTGCAAACTACTAGATTAAATTATGCAAGGCAAATGTGTATGTTCAACAGCACTTGAAAATGATTTCTGCTGTTGACATTACTGAAACAAAAAATGAAATATAACATTTTGGCGGGAACTGGACTGAAAAATCTAGCATGTGCAGACCTCTACTTTTGCCTTTCTACCACCATCTGTGGTTAAAACACAGAACTGCATGCCATTTGCAGAGATGTGCTTTTACATTCCAGCTGTGTTTCAGTCCTGCTCTTCTTTCTGCAAGGATGGTTTTAATGGTTTGAGGAATCATCATGGTTACTGGTGCACCAAAACCCACTGAAAGTAGGAAACACTTCCGACAAAGCATGTAGAAGAAGAAGAAAAAAGCCATACGAGTAAGGTTTATAACTGCCACTTTTGTTCGGATCTTGCTTTGGCAAGGGATGCAGACCCTGTGCGCAGTCCCTAACGGTTTTATTGTATAACATCTCTAGTCTCCAGCACAAAGTACACTTTGTGGATGTCAGACTTGATGTTTAACTGTGCCATACCGTCCTGGATACTGGACTGCAGATGATTGACGATGGCAGCGAGGATGGTGGACAGACTCATGATCTGAGCGCACTGTGCCAGACCCAGAATAAACAACTCATTCCAGCATGCTCGCACCAGAGCTGTGTTACATTCCTGCCTACACATACAGAGACAGAAACTGACATACTCTAGAGAGGATAACATGCATAAGTACAGAGAGAAACCCCACAACAGAGATCTCACCCGAGAGCAAGGAAGGCTGGAATAGAGCGCGCCCAGTGCATGGAGAGGAAGAGCAGGCGTGATGCAGACTCACAGATATAATGCACATTCAGATACTCGGGCATTGGGCTTGGCATCGTCAACTAGAGCGAGAAAATAATCACACACTTAAGACTCTCTTCTATTATTTAGAATAGTAAAACACAAAAAAAATAACCGTATTTTTATTACAAAAATCTTCATTAAAATCTTCCATTTTGCTTAATTACTATCAACAGCTGCAATTAAGCAACATTATATGTGACCCTGGAGCACAAAAGCAGTCTTAAGTCGCTGGGGTATATTTGTAGCAATAGCCAAAAATACATTGTATGGGTCAAAATGATTGATTTTTCTTTTATGCCAAAAATCATTAGGATATTAAGTAAAGATCATGTTCCATGAAGATATTTTGTAAATTTCCTACCGTAAATATATCAACACTTAATTTTTGATTAGTAATATGCATTGCTAAGAACTTCATTTGGACAACTTTAAAGGCGATTTTCTCAATATTTAGATTTTTTTGCACCCTCAGATTCCAGATTTTCAAATAGTTGTATCTCGGCCAAATATTGTCCTATCCTAACAAATAAATTGACCCTTATGACTGGTTTTGTGGTCTAGGGTCACATTTTCACACATGCTATATGAAATCATATTTATACTGTACTTTATACGATATAAATTATTTTGAAGCACCTTTACAGTAATAAAAAGTGTGCTGCAATATTCTTCAATTAGGAAACAATATTTTCAGTTATAATTACAAATATAAATCAACTCTACAGAAGACAACAGCGTAATTAATCATCTCAATTCACTTATTCTGTGTTCTTATTTGACAACATGAAATACAGTTCATCAATGATTTACTGAAAATAAACTGTCCCAATATTATAATTGTTATATTAACCAGTATCAACTATATCAAAGTGAAATATATTAGGAATACTAAAAAAGACTATTATAACACACCGCTCTATGCTTAATTATTCTGTAACAGACATTCACTGGGGGTAAAAAGGTTGGAATAATTAAGATTGTTTTTGAAAGAAGTCTCGTGATAATAATAATAATAAATGTTTCTTGAGCAGCTAATCAGTATATTAGAATGATTTCTGAAGGATCATGTGACACTGAAGACTGGAGGAATGATGCTGAAAATTCAGCTTTGATTACAGGAATAAATTACAGTTTAAAATATATTCAAATAGAAAACAGCTATTTTTAATTGGTATAATATTTCACAATATTACAGTTTTTTCTGTGTTTGTGATCAAATAAATGCAGCCTTTGTAAGCAGAAGAGTCTTCTTTCAACAGCAATCTTAATTATTCCAGACTTTTGAATCTCCCCACTGTACATTATTAAACTCAGATGGCTTTCACAACCCATTTTGTGACATTTTAGAATTAACCGTTATTTAATGTGCTAAAACAATGTAGGGCAATACTTAATATGATCTATCAGGAATTTATTGGATGATGAAAAGTGGGTCAGCCTGGAATAATACTAATCAATGATAAATAACAGCAAACAGAGAGGTACAGTCTACAACAGTAGCCTAAAACATTTTAAGTATTTTTATTTTTATGTTGACTTCAAGGCTTTTGCAAGAGTGTGAGAATGTCATGTACACACCTTAAAGCTGATGTGTGTGTCTGTAAGCAGAGGTCCCTCGACTTCTATGAGTGGTGAGATTTGATCCCTGCTGATCACCTGTATTGTAGCTCCGCCCACCCCATCCACCTCTGACAAGCTCTGGCCCTCCACCACCTCACTGGGGTTCAGAGCTTTAGCTAGCGTGTCAAAGGCACTGCAACACCAAAGACATCAGACTCAGAAACAATTACAAAAAAAATATATATATATATTTTTTTTTTTACCTTGTTTTTATGGTACATTTCAAAACCAGCTCTTTGAAATTTACTTAACCTTATGTCATTCCAAAACTGTACAACCTTCTCTCTTCTGCAGGAACACAAAAGAAGAAATCTGTACAATGTTCAGGCTTCTCTTTTTTAAGATGGCAAACCTGACAAAGAAATAAAATAACAACACCAAACAAGTACCATAAAAGTAGTCCATATGACTTGTGTGCCATATTTCACATCTTTAGGAGCCATACATCAGGTTTGTTTGAGGAATAAATTATAAAACTAAGATGTTGCCATCTTCTTTTGTTTAATGGTGAAAACAGAAGAAAGAAGTCATACGGGTTTGGAATGGAGTAATTTTCGCTTTATTACACTTTATTTTGATAATCCACTTTAGACTTAACTTTGCAACTACATGTCAACTAATTCTCATTAATTCACAACTTCATGTCTACTAACTCTCAGAGTAGACTGTTAGGTTAGGTTTAGGGTTAGTAGAATACGTTGATATATATACTTGCAAAGTTTCTCATAGTCAGTATGTTGTGGACCCATCAAAATAAAGTGTTAGCAGATATCAAGCAGACAGTCTACTAATACTCTAATGACTGCTAGTTGACATGTAGTTGCAAAGTTACTTACTGTTAGTAGAATGTGAAAGTGAAAGTGAAAGTGAAGTGTCCGACTCTCTAACCATTAGGCCACGACTTCCCCTTCGTGGCCTAAAGTGCACTATCAAAATAAAGTGTTACCTAATTTTCTTTTTAAGATCACTTATTCCTATAACAAATACCATAATTTTGTATCTCTTTCCGTTGTGAAAACCATACACAACTATTGTCTGCATTAATAACACACCGTGTGATTTCACTGGGTGACTCCTCCAGCTCTCCGTTACTAACCGGATCATTCAGGTTGGCTAATGATGAAACCACATTAGCCAGCGTCCCCAGATCACCTTGTCCTGACTCCGCCTGATGAACAAATAACATCCTCATATATATTTTAGAGTAAAACAGCTACAGCTTTTTTTGAATGTTTATAAGATGCATAATTATATATTTTTTTTTTAAACAATTTAACAGCAACAAATACCAAAACGTTTTGGATCCGGGACTCCCAACCTTTTAACTCTCAGTTCAACCCCTCTGATCCAAATTATTATTCTTGAATAACCCCTTAAGAGTTCATTTAATGCTTAATCTTTCAATAAATATGACAAACAAATAAATTCATGACAACTCTTCGTATATGAGATCAGAGTAAAACGTTTTACTCAGAACAATTTGGCATTTTGGCAATCACAATCTAAAGACACACAAGGTCACAAACTCCAGCTTGGAAAACCCCTGCCTGCACAGAACACAAAAGAAAAAGAAAACGTTATGTAGATGGTTTTACTTTGTCTGTTGCTAATAGTAATGTGCCATCAGCTTGTGTTAAAGGTTGTTGGATATTGACAAGCATCCCAGAGTCCAACAGCCTGGACCTGCACAGAGGATTAAATCATGACAAAAATGTTTAAATTCATTCGTTTAGCAAAATTAACTAAAATCAGCCAGAAGCTGATATACTGATGTCTAAGAAATAAATAGTCAAATCAAGTAAAGCAACAGTACATGAATACCCCTTATTGAAATACACTACACTAAATTCTTAGTTCTAACTTGAATTATATTAAGCTAGGTGTATGCATCATGTATAGTATGCAGATGCTTTGTGAATGTGAGTCTCACCGTGAGGCATCTTTCTCAGAGATGAAGGTGGGTGTTGCGATGAGGGGACTCCGCAGGTCTTTCCTGATGTAGATTTTCTCTGTGGATGCTGCACAGTTGGCAGGTTTTTCTCTAGGAAGATCAATGGGTTTCCTCTCACTCTGTACAGCTATGTGAGTAATACAAAATGCATAAATGCTGTGAGAAGCTTCCAAATTTTCACTGTGCAATTATGAAACATTTAAAGGGGCCACAATTTACACATTTGTGGCATTTTATTTTTGCCCTGAAGTCCACCAAATTGTCTTCATAATAATACTGTGTTCTCAAATCCTGCAAGACTGTGAAATCGTATGTTTGTTTGTGGGAAGATTGTACAGTATCATAGTCAGTTACGACATACAACATGGGCCAGTGACAGTTTTGTACCTTTCTTTCATGGTATGACCATGTGGTCAGAGTTTTTGTTTATTTATTTACTCACACTCCATCTTCATGCCCATCTCCAAGCACTTCCTGAGACGACAGAACTGGCAGCGGTTGCGATGGTGTTTGTTGACCACACAGTCCTGGTTACTGCGGCAGCTGTATGTCAGACTCTTGCGCACACTTCGCTTGAAGAACCCCTTACAACCTTCGCAGCTGACTGCCCCATAATGCCTCCCTTCAAATACACAAACCCACACATAGTATACTTAGAAATACAAATATTATATTTTGAAATAATAATACAGTGTAAACAAAAATATCCAACTTCAAAAACATAATACAACGACCAACTCACATGTAACAACTTTACTCTCTTATTTATAGTCTAATCAATCTGTAAAGTAGAAGATCCAGGTAAATAGGGGGCGCTGTTGCATGCAAAGCATGTAGGATGTGTTTTCGACCGCTCCCTAGAGAAGGCAGCAGATTTATTCACTTGTTTTTGTCTCATTAAATGATGTAAAACTTCCTTCAAAGGCTCAGAGTAGACTTTCTAACTCTCTTTTTCCTTGTCCCAGGCATCCTCCTGTTGTCTCTGAGTGGCTTACTTAAAGAAATAGTTCAGCTTTAGGCCATAAAAGATCTAGATGAGTTTGTTTCTTCATCAGGTTTGGAGAAATGTAGCATTGCATCACTGTCTCAGCAATGGATGCTCTGCAGTGAATGGGTGCCGTCAGAATGAGAGTCCAAACAGCTGATAAAAGCATCACAATAATCCACAAGTAATCCACACCACTCCAGTCCATCAGTTAATGTCTTGTGAAAGGCTACGTCTTTGTAAGAAGCAAATACATCATTTAGGCATTTTAACTTTCAACCATCGCTTCTGGACAAAATAGTCCATAATCCATAATGCCTCCTCCAGTGAAAAGGTCAATCCCCTGTTGTCCTCTCACATCAAAATCTACACACATATTTGTTTAGAAATGTTTTGGACTGTTTTTGCTTGTAAATGGTGCTTGACCTGTGCACAATTCTCTCCTGATTCAGACGAGACAACTTTTTCCACTGAAGAAAGCAATTATGGATAGAGGGCTTAGGTGGAATTTTAGGTGGAATCAACCGTTTGATGTTAAAATGCCTTAATGATGAATTTATTTCTCACAAATATGCAGCTTTTCACTTCACAAGACATTACTTGATGGACTGGAGTGGTGTGGATTACTTGTGGATTATTGTGATGTTTTTATCAGCTGTTTGGACTCATTCTGACGGCACCCATTCACTGCAGAGCATCCATTGCTGAGACAGTGATGCAATGACACACTTCTCAAAATCTGTTCCGATCAAGAAACAAACTCATCCACATCATGGATGGCCTGAGGGTGAGTGAATTCTCAGCAATTGTACATTTTTGGGTGCTCTACTCCTTTAATGTTTGATTAAAACTACGGTGCTTTCTTGTTTTGGAACTGAATTGTCAGCAGCAGCAGCAGCTACCTTATACTGACACTTGGGCCAAAACAACTGATCAGTGCGAACTGGCTACTGAAGTTAAAGTGACCAGCAAAATGTCCTTTTCTTTTCACATGATCTTTAGAGGCGTGATGCAAATCTTTAACGTCTTAGACCTGAAATCAGACATATACATTTGAGAACAAAGAGCAATATACAAGTAAGATCAAGGAGTTTACTAGTGAAGTGAAGTGACATGTGGCCAAGTATGGTGACCCATACTAGGAATTAGTCAAGTTTCTCAAACAAACTCGAATCAAAGATCCAATATGAACCCCACATACTAGCCAAATCTAATGATTAGTTATTTCTCTGAAATGCTCTTCGCGGCAGTCTAGAAACTAAAAAGAATACGAGGTTGTTTCTTGGTATCGACTGAAATTGTTTGCAGTCAGCCAATCAGATTAGAACTGGCCTGGGCCATTATCATTAAAGATGATAGTAACCATTGGCATCAATAGTTTTTACGATCTACTTAGGCTTACAGTACTTTTGGGAAATGCACCCCTGGTGATTTCAGGCATGTTTTGCTATTTCAGCATGCAATACTCATCAGATGGTCTATGGGCAACACATGTCTGTCATATGTAATCTTGCTTTATGTGCTCTGGCATTATTCACATTGAATGTGTTTGTACCTGAGGCTTTATCTCCACATACCACGCAGTATTCAATAGGCTGTGCTCGGCTCATGTCTGCCCCTTTACTCAGAAGCCTCTCCACTGACACTGCATCTGTTACAAACTACCAGAAAAGGCAGAAGGATTAATTACTTGGCATTCAGGGTTGATGATGATGATGACAAGGATAAAAGTAATTCTCTAGTTCACAGATGGGTATGACAGTACATAGCCTACTGTTTAAAATACAGTAAAAATGCATCATCTAAGAATGATGAAAAATGACTAGAATCGGGGATATCAACAGCATAGGCAGAGAAATCTGTAAATTGCACCCTGGATGTAATAATTCAACTTTTTATGATTGATTTAAATATTTTAAGATTGAAATTCAGGGTCTGGGACAAGAGTACAACCATACAATCTAAACACAAGGCATTTGGAAAATAGCATAAATAAATGAAGACAGGGGTTAAAAAAAATGGTAAAAAAAGTTACTAAATGTTTTAATGTGGCCTAAAGCTGAAATCTGTTCAGCAAAAATTAACTTTACAGTCCTATTCTGCATGTATATACTATGCATTTATTATAATAATTACAATAATTAGGGAATAACTACCCTGATAGCAAGCAACCATTGAATCAATGTTAAAAATTGCTGATTTGTCAATGTTAATTGCATTGAATCAACATCACTTTTGCACCTGCAATTAATGTTGAAAAAATGTTGAAATTTCAACAAACCACCATTATTATGATCAGCGTTTGCTTTAGTTGGGCTCTTGACTCTTTGTACTTTAATGTTTCATTGTCTCTTGTAACAATGTGGTAAAATACATTTGTTGAGGCCATGAAAACTAAGATCCACTGGGATCAGGTGATGGTGACTGAAATCATTGTGAGGTTATTTAAATAACTGCTCACAAGTGTGTTGTGTTTTTTATGTGTGAATAATGTGTGATACTACAGTGTGAGATTAAAGCAGTGGCATGGCTATCATACTTCTATGAATTAACAAAAAAATAACTTGTTAAATTGCTGAATCAATCAGACATCAAGAATCAGCGTATGAAACTCAATGGTGAAAATCAACAAAAGAAAATGTTATGCTGAAATGCATGCTGGGTATCAACACTCCCAGGATGCATTGCAGTTGATCTGAATTAGTTTGATGATTGTCACCGTTGTTGAGGTTTGTATGATGTCTAAATCTTTCTGCCACAGTATCTTTGCATTTGTGAAACAGAACATTTACATCAATAAAGAAAGATCAACTTCAACACTTTTTAATATTATTTCTCAACTTTATTACAGCTTGACACCCATCACAAAAAATAGTCTGCTCTAACTTAACTTTAAAACATCTCTTTCTTTATTAATGCATATAGAAACACTATTGTTAGCACTGAAAGATAATTAACTTAATGACAAGCAAGAGTCAAGAGCCCAACTAAAGCAAACGCTGATCACAATAATGGTGGTATTTCAACATTTTTTCAACATTAATTGCGGGTGCAAAAGTGATACTAATTCAATGTCATTAACACTGACAAATTGACTATTTTTAACATTGATTCAATGGTTTTCACCTGCTCTCCTGCTATCTGGGTAGGTACCAACCCTGAAACTACCCCTGAACCTCATCTTAAACCAAGTTTATATTCCCCAGTGTCTTAGATAAGCTACACTATAACTACACGTAAGTGCATGAACTGAAAAATAATATGCAAAAAACCCCTGAGACATAAGCGTGCACACGGTTGAAGAAACACCGATGCATTTATGTGACTTCACACCTGAATTCGTCCAGGCACCAGGCTGTCAGCAGTGGCAAAGATAAGCTGTTTGGCACTAGTACCCTCAGGTGATGCCAGGAGGACTTTGCCTGCTGAAGAGCCATCAGGTGCTGCCAGGATAAACTGCTGTTTGGGCACAGTGGAGTCCAGTGCCGTCACTATCTGGATTTTTTGACCCATCTGCTTTATATATTTAAAAAATACAAATGTATCAAAAATAAAAAGAAATTTAGCCCTAAACGAGCCAACTGAACAGCAGTGCTCAAATTGTATGCAGTGGATGTATGTCAAGCTGTGTGTGTGTGTGTGTGTGTGTGTGTGTGTGTGTGTGTGTGTTTAACATGTGAATTCTTGCTAAATATGCAGCAGGGCTCTCTCAAGTTATAGCAAAAGTTTGGAGTGCGATTTCATCTGTTAGGGGAGGAGCCACTCAAATATTTGCAGCAGTGGCTCTTCAGTCCCGCCCAATTCTCTCAAGTTTTCGCTGGCAGTTCAATTTTACCTATTGTTTACAATTATCCAGCACAAATAGAAATTATAACAACTGGTAAATCTGATAAAAGACAGACAAATTCATCCAAATAAAATAAATTGTTTTATATTACAAAAATACAAATGTATAAAAAATAAAAAGAAATTTGTCCCCAACCGAGCCAACTGAAGAGCAGTGCTCAATGTACATACTGTACACATACAGTAGGATTGCAGAACTTGCCCTGAGCATGTATGCCAAGCTGTGTGTGTGTGTGGCTGCTCCATGCTTTCTTCTTCCCTGTCTTGTCCACTGATTCATCCATTCACTGACTCCTCTATGGTCTCTACTTTCTCCCCTACTATCTCCCTTGCTGTCATCTCCACTTCTGATCTGACAACCTTTTTTTTACCCTTTGGTAGCCTACCCAGAATGAAATAATACTCTTTTGCTTTTCCCCTGACATCTTTGAAACAGACAAATGCAATGATTCACAGTGTTGGGGAAAGTTACAGTTAAAAGTAATGCATTACAATATTGCATTACTCCATTAAAAAAAGTAACTAATTACGTTGCTTAGTTACTTTTTATGGAAAGTAATGCGTTACGTTATTTTTGAGTTACTTTTTAAATCTGGGCAGGGCTTGCGTGTTTGTTTTTAATATAAAAAGTTGTAAAAGCCCTTTCACAACAGAAGATAGTTTTATATATATATATATATATATAAAATGAGTTTATTTGGATGAATTTGTCTGTCTTTTATCAGAATTGTTCTAACATCTCTAGTACTTCCCTTAGTTTCAGGTAGCCAGAGCTAAGCTTCTGGTTGCAAAGCGGTTGGAGAGTTCTTGAGTGCTTCAATAATAATTTAGCACGATTTTGACTATATTCCCCAACAACAGCTCTCGCTTTATTTGATCACAGGCAAGTGATTTCGTCCAGAAATCATAAAATCAAAATGCCAAAAAAAAAAGAAAAATGAAGGGGTTACCTTACACAAAATTCATCGGATCTTGCTCTTCCAACTGCACACGCATCCATCTTACTTAGTAACAAACGTGCTTGCAGCGGGATCACGGACACTACAAGGAAACAACAACATCCTAATTTCTGATTGTCTGGTAGGTGGCATTTAACTCTGTATAACTCGAGACAGCTATGAACTCGGCGACTATATTCCCCAACAACAGCTCTCGCTTTATTTGATCACATGCAAGTGATTTCGTCCAGAAATCATAAAATCAAAATGCCAAAAAAAAAAGAAAAATGAAGGGGTTACCTTACACAAAATTCATCGGATCTTGCTCTTCCAACTGCACACGCATCCATCTTACTTAGTAACAAACGTGCTTGCAGCGGGATCACGGACACTACAAGGAAACAACAACATCCTAATTTCTGATTGGCTGGTAGGTGGCATTTAACTCTGTATAACTCGAGACAGCTATGAACTCGGCAGAGAACTTCCCTCCGTATAGAAGGAGTCTGACTGCTGATAAATCCAGTATTTTGAGATGGTCCTCACTGCAGAACAAGATCCAGGGGGCGTGGTTGGATCCAGATCCAACTCCTCCCACCTTACATATACCTAAACCTACCCGTCTCCACCCCCGATCCCTAAACCCACCCATCTCCACGCCTAAACCTACTCATCTCCACCCCCTAGATGTGGATCCCCCTGGATCTTGTGTTCTGCAGTGAGGGGCTACTGAATATTTTAGGTTGGTTCTTCTGTCAGGCATGGCTCAAGCAACACGAAAGAGGCACAGGAGAGGATCATTTCCAGCAGTTAAAACTTTTAATTATCAAAACAAAAACACTCGGAAGCACAAAGTTCATGATATAAGAACAGAAAACCATGATAGTAGTTATGATGGGAATTAACAAACTAAACTGAAAACAAGATTTTGGGCGGATTCCAAACAGCTTTTTTGCTCCCTTGAAGGGCACTTTGGGAAGGGGACATCATTTGTAGAGACGTTCCAAACAAAAATGAACAACTGAATCCCTTCACAAAGGGCCCTTCCAGAAGTCCGTTAACGAAAGGAACATGCGATGGTCACTTCACGGAAGTGATTTCTGTTTGTGATCATGTTGAGATCATGATCTTCGGTTAGGAGGTCTTGGGATGCATTTTAAAGCAAAGTTGGGGTTGATTTTGACTTCACATACAAACATAAATAGAATAGGCTAATTGAATTTGTCTTATTTTAATGTAATACAAAATATTTTTCATCAGTGATAGAAATATGATTTAAGACAGTAGTGTAAGCAAGTTTAGTTTGAAAAAGTTTAATAGTAAATAAGACACAATTACACAATATTTGAATAAAACAATAATAAAAAGTAGAAACATTTATTTGCAACAACTGATGGAGTGCTGAATGCTGCACGCAGGCACAGCATTGTCAAGGTACACAACCCATTTGTGCACTACCCTTAATATGTATAGTAATTGTAATGTTCTAGTATATTTTTTATTTTTAGTTTAAAAGTGTCTCATATGATGTTATTTGTTTGTCGTGATGTATATTATGTTTATTTAATGTTGGTTTTGTTATTTATGTTTGCACTATTATGCACAATTTTGTTCTGCTGGACACCTGTTGTAAGTCTAGAATTACATTAAAGTATTGAACTTGAACTTGTAACATCTGGTCAGGCATTCCCTTGGCCAAGGGAGTTCCAAACACTTATACGAGACAGCAATGCCCTACACCCTTCAAAGAACACACTTCAAGGGTCTGCCCTTTGAAGGGAGTAGGGCAGGTATACGCAAATATCCATCCTATGCAAATATCCATTAAAGCAGCGAATTATTTTTCTTTTGCTCTTTTTGATTAACATTTATATAAGAAATGCACGGATCTGTTATAAGAAACGCTTTATCACAGCGCATGCGTACCGCACTGAGATGTCTTGGGCTTAAATGGCTTAAAATTACTTTAATGTTTAAACTGACAAGACTTAAAACACGTGAGAATGAAAGATAGTTTTGGGGGGCTAAGGTGACAGATAAGAAACCCACCTAAAAAGGGTTTAGAACCGCCCCTGGTATAGCGTGCGTAATTATACTGAACATAAATATATAACCAGTTTACCTGATTCAATGTGATGGCTGAGCCTGTTTCTGAGATAACAACATGCCAATCCGTGGTTGGATTTCCGACACGGCTAACCGTAAATCATCTTACACTGTCAATAAGCGTGACTGATACTCGAGCCAACTCTGCTCTAACTGTCGACTAGCAGTGGGAGTCAGATTGCCCCTTAGTCGATGGCTAAATATTTGCTAACTCATATTCCTAAATTCTCAAGGGAATGTCTCTGAATTAACTGGGGGCTCGCCACACAGGTTGAAAACCCCTGCCCTAGAGTGTACCATGGACAAAATCAATTAATAGACCATCTCGGCACCATTTTCACCTACGCCTGCAGCCCTGCCAGAATCAGACAGTAATAAAGAAGAAATGAGCCTGCATTTGTTATTTGAGTAAGGCCATAATTCAAACAAAGATCCCACGGTGACTGTTCTGATAAGGACGCCCACGATCATCATCATGAGGCTGCTGATGTGTCCAAATAGTAGGCTATCAAATTATTTACTTATGGTTTTGAATCACCGAGCTACTGTCTGTTCACTGCTGTAGCATTGGATCAGTGGCAGGTGGTATTTATAATTGAGGGGGAGGGAACAATCTCATTCTAGAATGCATTTTATGCACACCTGAGCAGGGAATAAATCATCAACGCCCCCCTTGACAGGTGCTGGCGCGCCCCACAGGTTGAAAACCCCTGGAGTAGGGCATAGGGATGATCACTTCCGTTTGGAATTCGCCCATTGTATATACAGGCAAACAAGCAACATCACTGCGTAACCATGACAAATAAAGTGTAACTATGGAAACAAAGGGCATCTGAAACTAAGGAAACCAAGCAAACAGGAACTTAACACAGGAAGGAAATACAGAAACCAAAGGAAACAGACAGGACTATAGACAAGTCCCAAGATGGCACAGTCTGAGGGCGAGGAGGATTCAGCCTCCGAGCACCCTTCAAGAACTTAACGATCAGGTCGTTTCTACCGATCGATTGGCCAGCTTCGAGAGAATGGTTCACTGCGATAGCTGTCACATACACTTTCAGCAGCTCTTGCAAAAAGGTTAGCACATGGGACACGTCACATGATACTGGGTCCAAACTTCATGCAGAACACCAGTTAAGGAACACCGACCATTTTAAGCTGTAAAGTCGTCTTGTAGACGGCGCTCTTGCCTCCAAAATGGTATTGCTTACTCTCGCTGGGAGCTGATTACGCTCCCGTCGAGGCACCATACATGAAGACTCCACAGCTCCGGCCGGGGATGCCAAATCATGCCTTTCGCCTGCGAGAGAAAGTTCCTCCTCAGCAGAATGGGCCGCAGGGCTGCTGCTGAGAGCTGCACTAGGTCTGGGAACCAGGCCGGGTTCCTCCAGAGTGGGGCCACTAGGAGGGGAGAGCACTTGGTCTCCGTGACCCACCTGACGACCTGAGGCATCAGAGCGATCGGGGGAAACGTGTATAGGCGAGCACTGGGCCAGTCGTGGGCCAGAGCCTCTTGCTGTATCGAGAAGTATGTTGGGCAGTGAGAGTTGTCTTCTGAGGCAAAGAGGTCGACCTCTGCCCTCCCAAAGACTGACCAGATCTCTTGAACTGTTTGAGGGTGTAGCGCCTATTTGCCCGGGGCTACCTTGCCTCTGGACAGCATGTCTGCGCCAAGGTTCAATCTGCCAGGCAGAGAGAGGAGTTCTTTCTGTGCCCAAAAAAGGAGACGACGAGCCATTCTGTAAAGAGTGTGTGACCTGAGACCGCCTTGGTGATTGATGTAAGCCACCACCGTGATGCTGTCCGACTGGACCAAGACGTGGTGCCCTTTTAAGGCTGAAAGGAAGGTTTTCAGGGCTAAGAAAACCGCCAAAATTTCTAGGCAGTTGATATGCAGGCGTTGCTCTGGGGCTGACCAGGAGCCGAACTTGCCCTCCAAAAGGTGCCCCAACCCGAGTTGGACACGTCCGTTGTGGCTACCTTCCTTCTGGAGGTCAGGCCTAACCTCGTTCCTGTTTGGAACAGGCAAGAGGTTGTCCAGGGGGCCACAGCCTTGATACAGCGGTGGTCTACCCTGACAGGAAGCCGCCCCATGCGCCAGGCGTGGGGTGGAACGCGGGCTTTGAGCCCAAACTGAAGAGGCCACATGTGAAGCAGGCCCAGAGGAAATACCGAGGTGGCCGCCGCCATAAGGCTGAGCAACCTCTGAAACACCTTTAAGGGGCGTGTCGCCCCCAGTTTGAGACACGCCGCCAATCGCTGAATAGTCAGGGATCATTCCGGCGTAATCCATGCCCGCATTTGGGCGGAGTCTAACATTGTTCCCAAAAAGACAGCTTGCTGTCTGGGCAACAGCTGACTCTTGTGCGTGTTGATGATTAACCCGAGGTGCTCTAAGTGGCTGAGTAACAGCTCTCTGTGAGCAGCCAACTCCCGTTCTGACCCGTCTAGAACCAGCCAATTGTCGAGGTAGTTCAAAATACGGATTCCCATCTGTCTCAGAGGGGAAAGAGCTGCATCTATGCACTTTGTGAAAGTGTGCGGGGCCAGAGACAGTCCAAACGGAAGGACTGTATATTGATAGGCCACTCCCTCGAACGCGAATCTCAAGAATGGTCTGTGATGGGGGCTATGTGGATGTGAAAGTATGCATCTTTCAGATCCACTGTCAAAAACCAGTCCTCGGGGCAAATGTGCACGAGGATCTGTTTGATAGTTAACATCTTGAACGACCGGCGCATAAGTGAGTGGTTCAGACGTCTGAGATCCAGAATGGGTCTGAGCCCGCCATCTCTCTTTGGAACAAGGAAGTAGCGGCTGAAAAAGCCTGACTCACTGTTCGCTGGGGGCACTATTTCCACCGCGCCTTTTGCAAGCAATGTCTGCACTTCTTTTCGGAGAACGAGCGCTTCATTGTCCGGAACAGAAGTTTGAATAATGCCTCTGAAGCGAGGTGGCCTGCGAGCGAACTGAAGCGAGTATACAATCATATAAATTAAATTAAATTATAGTAAGATTTGTTCTTGAGTGTCAAAACTGCTATTAATGAACTGCACTGAGATTATCAGATAAGAACCTAACTTGAACTGAACTGAGTTGAACGATGAGACTGTAACTTCTGTAGAGCTGCTTTATAGCCGAATCAAATTTGTTTCATAACTGATCAACTGTGTAACATCAACCACATTCTTATTAAACCAAGCTGAATCAACATTGTACTGACTTGACTTGACTTGAGCTGAATGAACTTGACTTCAGTGACGAAGGAGCAGAACACACTGCAAAAACTGGTCTGACAGATGCTCAACATTGGCCCTACACTGGCCAACGACCGACCACTGGCTTGGTGTGTCACGCAACCTTAAACATTTAAATCACCTCGTTTTGGTATCTCTCTCACATCACTCACCTCTGAAACCTGCTCAGCGGTCAATATCTGCTGAGCCAGCACCTCCACATTGGTTGTCATGGTGAAGTGAAGTCATTAGAAGTGTCTGATTGGACAAAGGCCAGCTCTTCATCTGCCAGCAACACCTCCACCTATGTGCCAATCAAATACAGATATTAAAGAATAGCCAATACGTTTTGCAAGCACAAAAGAATGTTACATGCAACGCTTGAAATTAATATCTGCAACTTTTGGAAGATTTCATAGGTGGTTTGTTCTGGGCAGGAACTAAAATGTATTCAAATAGTCTTTAACTCAACTCAAGCCCAATTATACTCATCGTCCACGCTTACATAAATCATATAATTCTATATAGCATTACTGCAGGTAATCACAAATTTACAATGAACAACATTTAGTCATTTTTGTTGGTTTTGATTTATAAATATAATATTGTTCCTTATTATTTCAAATTAGTTCCTCAATACATTAATGCATGGTAATGTAAAAAACACTTAGTGTAAATGTATAGGCTAAATAAACATTAACCAGTATTTAGAAACTGCTGTAAAAGTATTGTTCAGTGTTAGTTAACAACAGTGTTAACTAATGTTCAAACTTATTAATGTTCAAATGATGCTTCCATTTGACAGAGCTGAACCTCTATGTATAATGCAAATAAAATGAAAGTGAAAAGTGAAAGTGACGTGACCAAGTATGGTGACCCATACTCAGAATTAGTGCTCTGCATTTAACCCATCCAAAGTGAACACACACACACCATGAACACACACCCGGAGCAGTGGGCAGACATTTTTTTGCTGCAGCGCCCGGGGAGCAGCTGGGGCCGACTCTCTAACCATTAGGCCACGACTTCCCCGCCATAAAATGTTATTTTAAGCTTTAACAGAACACTTTATACAGTTAAGGTTATAACTTTTCCCCCATGATGACCCTTACCGCCAAAATAATTAAACAAAACAAAATAAAATAAAAATACAAGATAAACTTTACAATATTGTACACATTCCCAGATGAACAATATCATTATAGGAATAATAAAAATAAATAAATAAATAAATAATTGCCTAGACAATAATACAATTTAATACTCTGACACATTCATAGTGGTCTTTACATAAATACAGTTGTGGTCAGAATTATTGGCACCCTTGGTAAATATGATCAAAGAAGGCTGTGAAAATAAATCT